GTATAAATTTAAGATTATTTTGTATTTTAAAAAAATTTTAAAGCTCTTTCTATTTTAGAATTAATTTTTTAACCACCATTTTTCTTAAGAAAAAAAGTTTTTTTAATTAAAATTATATCAAACTATAAAATAAGAACTTTTAAATAGAGTTAACCATTTATTCAAAAATTTATATTTTATAATTTAATATAATTCAAACGGTAAAATAATAGAATAATGAATAATCTCTTTTATTAATCTTGACCTTTAGTATGTTTGAGATAAGGAGATGGAGGAGAAGGGTGAAGAGATAATGATTTTTTAACTAATTAAATTATAATATTTAAAATTATTATAATTTATTTAAAAAAATCATTCCCTCCCCTTTCCTCCCCGCTATTCTCTTTAAGCTAAATTTACTATGAATAAAAAAAGAGGGATCTATTTATACATAAATTTTACCTATCATATTTATAAAAAAATCTCAACTATTTATTTTTTTACTTTTAATAATTGAGATTTGTTATATTTTTAACTAAAAAGAATAATTATCTTTAGTGAATATAAATAAATTTCAACCAAATGAAAGTAGAGAAATAAATAGTTAAAATTTTGTGTAAGTATAATATATAAAATTTAAGTAAAAATATATCCTTATTTAAAAAAAAATTAATATGTATTCTAATGATATATGTTAAAATATTTTTTTGTTATTAATGTATATAAAAATAAAAATTGATATTAATTTTAATTTTTTATTATAATAATAAATTTAATTAAATGATTAATAAATTAAAATTTAATTTTTATTTTTTAATATAAATTTATAAAAAAAATATGAATTTATTATTACACTTAAAGTTATACTGTTAGAATTGGCTTACTTTAGCAAATCATTTATTAATTTTTATATTCTTTTCGGTTTTATCTATTATCTTTAAATATTTCAATTCTGTTTATTATCTTTCACATTTATTTTAATTTTATTTAATCCGTTATATTTAACAGAAATCTTTTTATTCTATAAGGAAATATTTAGTTTTCTAACTATATTTCTTTTGATCTTTTAGTTTTTAAATTTATATTGACCGTAAAAATAGTTTTTATTCTTATCTTGATAAATGTGATCTTCATAAAACTGTTTTACAGAATAAATTGTATGTAATATGTCTTATAATATTATTTAAATGCCTTTAATTTTATTTTTATATTATTTTTTAAGAATATTTAAATAATTTTACAATACGAATTACATACAGTTTATTTTATAAAACATACTTACTTTTGAAATTTCTCGTTCTAAACTTACTAAGTTTCTCCGTTTAAATTGACTTAATTACTAAGTTTATTACAAATTCTAACTAATCTATATGTGTAAAGTATTTATTGAGTTATTATATTTTATTAAGATTATAGTGTTACTTTTTTTAAATTCAAAGGACTACTCTTTTTCATTAAATCCATCAGAAATTTTGTACATTAGATTATTTTAAAATATTCTTTAAACTTTATAGACTATTTAGAAAGAAAATAAATTTTTTAGACTAAAATAAAATTAAGTTGATAATTAATAGATTAATAATTGAATTAAGCCACGAGAATCCGGTAAACAATACCCCCGCAAAAAAAAAAAAGAAAAAAAAAGACCCAAACCTTTTCCTCTACACGTCAGCGCCCACCGGCCATCCGCCCAGTCGTCTCAAGAAGCTCGCTTGCCAATATCATATTATTATTATCTTTATGATTAGCGTAATTTTGGGGTCGCCATTTCTGAAGGCTCGCAGTTCTTCTTAATCTCCATCTCTGGGTGAGCTTGAGGAAGAGGTTTTCTGATAAAACTCGTGAGTTAATTCTAACCCCATCTCCCAGCTCCGTCTCAGCATTGAATGTCCTTGATTTATGTCATTCTTTAAATTGATTCGCGTCTTGTATAGTTGTATCGTTCTTGTTGTTTGATTAAGATTGGAATCATTCATTATTTTCTGTTCTTGGATAAATCTTGATTCCCGTTTTTATTGCGTCTGTTTTGGTTTTCTTGTTTGTTGTTTCTTTAATCATACTTTCTCTGTCCCATCCATTGAATTGTCTTCTGATTATTCCAAAGGTCATTCAAAATCTTTTCTTTCGTTTTTCAAATTCGTCTTTCCTTTCTACAATTGCAATTTTTTGAGGTTTATGAACTATGTTTTCTCATTTTGAGAATAATCCAGATAGTTCATGAGTTTATACACAATGCCATATATCATAGCCTGTAATTTATGGGTGTCACTTGTTAGAGGAGACATGGTTAACATGTCGTTGGCAGATTTCGATGGAAGTAGATCGGTTAATATGGCTTTTGTGTGGAGAGAACATGGGAAGGTTGTCAAAAGAAACATGTGAATTGGGTTTTCATTGGGATTGAACCAGGGATAAGTGTTTGAAGAATATCATGTTTTGATTTTTTTTCCCTCCTTTATTTCTTAATTTAGTAACGTAAAAGTGATAACAATAGTTTCTTTTTTTTTTTTTTTTAATCTCCAAGGATGGATCTATAAGGAATTAAGGATATACGATCTTGAACAGATTCCAAAAGAGTTGAAGACTTTATTCCTTTTTAAGATTTTTGTTGGAGAACAAATAAAGATTGAGACAACAACTTTCCTCATTGATTTTCAGGTTTTCAGACTTTTGTACGCCATGCTTAAGGCCCCTGATCATCAAGTTGCAGGGCACCGAGCCAGGGATGGAAAGCTTGGACCTTTAATAGATGATTCAGGACGTTTCTACAAGCCTCTCCAGGATAGTGAACGTGGCTCCAGAGAGGTGGCCTTTTATAGGGATTTCTCGACCAATGCAGAGATTCCAGATTGCATCCGCAAATTCTTTCCTGTTTTCTATGGAACTGAGATGGCAGAGGCATCTGATGGGTCTGGTTTGTGCTCCCACCTCATCTTGCAGGATCTTGTCTCTGGTCGCTGCAGTCCGTCTGTCATGGATATTAAAATTGGATCCAGAACCTGGTATCCTGAAGCCTCTGAGGATTATATTGAAAAGTGCTTGAAGAAAGATAGAAAGAGTACCAGTGTGTCATTGGGGTTCAGAATATCTGGGTTGCAAGTATTTGAAAGCAAGGAATCTGGATTCTGGAAACCAGGGAAAAAGCAAGTGTCAAATTTCACTCCAGAGGATGTTAGATTAGTTCTGAGGAACTTTGTTTCATCTAATCCTTCTGTCGATTCAAAAAACCCAAATTGTTCACTTGTACACAGTGTTTATGGTGGTTCATCTGGAATTTTGGCACAATTATTGGATCTAAAAGCATGGTTTGAGAATCAAACCATCTATCATTTCCATTCTTGTTCTGTTCTCATGTTTTATGAAATGGAGAAATTGCTGGAAGGAAGAGCTTCTGTTGTTGAAATCAAACTGGTAGATTTTGCCCATGTTGTGGATGGCAAAGGTGTTATTGATCATAACTTCTTGGGAGGGCTCTGCTCTTTGATAAAGTTTATCTCTGATATTCTTGATGGTTCAGATGAGTCCTCAGCTAAAGCCTGCAATCTGGAACCTGAGAAGAAACTCATTTCTACCGACAATGGCCACAAGCAATAGGGAATAAACATTTCCTTGTGCTGTCTTCCTTGCTGCTACATGGAGCATTTTTGTTACTAACATGGCCAAATTGTGGACTTTTAGTTTTGGTTTGGTTAAAATCTGAGTTACCTTCAACTGGATATAGTCCTTATTTGTTTCAATAGATTTTTCCATGGCTTCAGAATATTACCTTTCTTTTTTCTCATTAATGTCTTAGAAACTATTAGGGATTCTGTAACTTTTTTCAGAAGAGAGGATTGTGTTTTAACTTTCTTCAATATTTATTCTCTCATGCCGATAAAAATAAATAAATAAATTATTCTTTCATTTTTATTTTTCTATTTATTTTTCTTCTTTGTTCTTTTTGGCAGAACAGAGCTGCGGACACTTTATCCTCCTCATCACTGTGTTTTAAGTTGTGGTACTGTGTTATGATTTACTGATCTGGGAAATGGGGGTTGGGCAGTTTGAAGCTTACTACTTTTTGCTTCTCTTGCCGTTAATCTTGCTTTCAATTGAACAGGAGCATGGACCCTCTGTCATGAAGTTGGAAGCTCCTAAATATATTGAACAGGAGCATGGACCCTCTCTACTATGATGTTGAAAGCTTCTGAAAAGAGAATAAATGATGTGGCAAAGAGTAAGCTTAAAGACAACTTCTACACAAATTGAAGCATTTAATTTTGCAACTCAAATTCTGCAATATTCTTTCTACACATCATATAATCTGGACATTACAGTTTAGCAAAGCCCCTGGTTAGAAACACAGCTCCAAAAAATTTACAGCAGATCTTACTTGTTAAGAAATTTCAATAGCACAAGTCCTTGTCATTTCTTTTTACCCCCCCCCCCTTGTAACGGCAAGAAATACTGTAGATATGAGGCTTGAAATACATTTTTATGGTCTTCAAGGGAGTAGAGAATTCTAACAGCCTCACCGGATGACTTTTCTGTCACTTTCCTGGAAGATTGAAGGGAAATGTCAGTAGAGAACAAATCAACGCAATCCTAGTGTTCCAAGCATTAGGGCATCTGGCCTGATGCTTAAAGCAATGCCCTTCTTCTAACATAATCCACCGAAACCTAGTAGTGAACTCCAAGGCTCAAAAAGTATGTAACCCCTATATCTAACAAGCCCTCTAGATGTAATGTAATTATATATAAACACTGCATTAAAAAACAAGCTCGCATATCCATAGTTTGTTACATTCGAAGATGAATTCGACTCTTTTCTTTTGCATCATGTTCTGCACTTGCATCAGCATCGGCTTGGCAGATCCTGGTAATCTCCAGGATACTTGTCCAACAGGACCACAAACCATGTTCATCAATGGTTTGCTCTGCAAAAATCCAGTGAACATCAGTGCCTCAGATTTCAAGAGTACAAAGCTGAGGGACGCTGGTAACACTAAAAACTCTCTGGGTTCTGCGGTCTCCATTGCCACAGATATTGACTTCCCTGGCCTGAACACCCTTGGCCTCTCAACTGCAAGAACTGACCTGGAGGTGGCTGGTTTGGTGACACCTCATTCGCACCCTAGGGCCACCGAGATGTTCTTTCTCTATAATGGTTCTGTTATGGCTGGCTTTATTGACACCAATAACAAAGTCTTCCGGACGCTCATGAAGGCAGGAGATGTGATTGTGTTCCCCAGAGGCCTGTTCCATTTTTGCTATAATGTTGGCTCTGAGTTTGCCACAGCCTATTCAGTGCTTAACAGTCAGAATCCAGGAGTAACGGAAAATGCTGATGCAATATCCATCTCTGATTCTGGTATCATGAACAAGATAAAAAACAGATTGATTTCTTCTCCTGAATCTAAAGTTAAAGACACCAACGATGCCACTCTGTCTGGATTCTCTGGTTTGCATTTTGCATGAAACCTTGGAAAATTTCTTCACAGAGCTGTGTGAATTGGTTGCTAAAAGGAGTGCTAGTATTTATTTGCCAATTGTGCTAATTAACTTGAATACATTGTGTGCATCATAATCAATTGAATTTTCCTTTCTTTCGGTTTAGCGAAAGTTTAGGGATGGAATGTTTGTGTAACTTTGTTGTCAAGGCTTGATGAGCATTATTGACTTATACCATCATAAACTGAACTCCAAATATCATTTACATGTTACATTAGAAAATTTGCTTAATTGTCACTTTTCGTCCTTTGCACATATTAGGTCATCTCCTTTCCCGAACTCAATTCTGGTCTTTCGATCTAGTAACAAGATTTCCGACTTAAATATCATTCAGGATGCCTTCATGAAAACAAAAACAGAGAAAAGACTCGGTTATTTGAAATTAATTCAAGGAAGGAAGTTTTGAATTCAAGACTTCTTTATTTTGTGTTTTATGACATAACTAGTCTTTTTTTTTTTTTAAATCCAATTTAATGGTAAAATGGAAAGAATATTACACATGATTGAAACAATTAAAAATTTTCAAAATCAAACTGAAATTCATTGAAAAGGATAAGGATAAAAAAGGATAATTACCTAAAAGATAAGAAAATGAATCTCCAGCTGGGACTGAATTGTTATTGTAAAAAAGTAGAAAGGACACCTTAACAGTATCAACCAGATGCAGGGGATGAAAGTGAAACCTAGTGTTCTTTCCATTTTTTCTTAGTTTTAGCATGTGTTTAATATTCTTGTTCTATAAGCATGATGAGTAGAATATAGCATATATAGCACAGCAAAGTATTAAATTAGAATACAATCAAGGAATCAGAGGAATCACAAAAATAACAATCTGTGAGATTTTTTTAATAAAAGAATTCAAGTAGAAAATTTATTCAAGGTAAATGGTCAGATATGTTATATTTTTTGAATTGATCTTTTTTTTTTTTAAACAGATAAAAAAAATACATCTTAAATTGATAGGGTATCAATTGACCTAAAAGTCACCAACGAAGTGACGTTTATTATTATAGTCATAATTAAATATGATCAATTGGGAAAAGAAAATGAATAGGAAATATAAAATTAGGTCAGTGAGAATATTGAATGCAGTTAGCATTCGGGTTTTCTTTTCATTGATTCAAATGTACTTTTATTTTATTAAAATATTAAAAGAAAGGACAAAATGATTCAATGAAAAAAAAAGAAAAGAAAGGTGTGTACTCGAACTCACATTGAATGCACATGGTCGTAATTGAACGGTAAAGGTGGCTAGACTTTTAAAAGTTGTCTTAACCGGATTCCTGAATTGGACCACAATAATAAAGACACAGAAAGCATGGAAGATGAATTTCGCCGTGCGATTCAAAGGATCGCGCGCCTCAATAAAAGATGAGAGATGATTGAAATTGAATTTTTAATTATTAATAATTTTTAATTTAATTATTAATTATTACTCTTGTCAAAAAAAAAAAAAAATCATGGAAGATGAACGGGTGAAGCCCCTACCAACCAACCCACTACTTTGTTCTTTCCGTCATTATTTGCTAATTTTCCATTGTTAAACATGTGCAACACAATTTATTATAGAATTATAATTACATAACTAGGAGCCAAAAAGAAGGACCCATAATTAAAATCATTTTACAAGAGAGAAAGAGTATAGGATCATGGTTGATTCTCATACAAGATGATCCACATTCTTGCTTCTCCTTATCCTTATCCTTTGTAGATTAAAAATTCTCTTTGTGGAAATCAAACTTGGTGTTTGTCTTGTGAGTAAAGTCCGAAGCCAACTGGCGTAGCTCTTTTGTCAGTGCCGGTGGTCCACAGTAAAACACCCCTACAATTTGATTGGAGACACAGAAATAGTTGTAAATAAATGTTCCATACTTAGCTGTGCATCATCATTTTAAACAATGCAAATTTAATCTGTAAAAATAATTAGAAGAAACATTTTATAAACCAGTAATCAACATAAGATATTTTCCCATAGTCAAAGATATAATAATTAAATAATCACCATCATTATCATTTAACAAAAGCACCTCCACCAAATAATTAAGAATATCAACTGTCTTTCTTTTTGTGTAGAAATTTTGGAATCTAATCAAATAATCGAGTCAATGCCTAAAAAATAAAGAAAAAGAAGCAACAAAGGGTAAAGTTATGGCTGCACAAATTTTTAAATGTTGTATTTTAAAATACTAATTTTATTTAATTTAAGTATTAAAAATAATTAATAATTATAATTATTAGTTAATAAACAAGAAAACAATCATTATTAATTATTTAATAAATTAAAATTAATATAAATATTGATTTTTTTAAAATATCATAATTAATTATTTAAAGTAAAAAATTAAAATTTATGTTACCTAACGATGTGGGGTCAAAATCACACTCCAAACAGATTCCAAAATAATTTATTAGGCTTACCAACTCGGCTGCTGGGATGATCGAGTGTGATGCGTTTGTACACGGTGCGCCAATTAGGCTTGGCAAAGTGAGATTTCACCCTTGTACCAGAGACAATATCCACGCCACATTTGGCATGGTTGAGGGACTGAAGCATGGCAATGAGGGCAGACCGAGCGTCACCTTCTTCATAGACACTAGTGCAGTAGTTATGTAGCTCAATTACATGGTTGTGATCCTGCTCCGCAACATCATTCATGATACCTTTGAACCAATCAAAGGAGCCTTGTTCCCTTGTCACCCAGTAAAAGTAGGCCCTCCTAGTCTTGAAACTATCTTTTCTCTTTGGAGGAGGACTAACCCATCCATTTCCATTTTCCAATCCCACGTTTTCCTCTTCCTCCTCCATGGCCCTTATATTGTTCACTATGTCCTTCAAAATGCTGATCATCGGAGTAGCTCCAATTCCCAACCCCACCAGCAAGACAACCTCATATTTCTTGTAGTCCTGTGCCGGTGCCCCATATGGACCGTCAATCAGAACTCTTGGGAAACTATACCATTTTCATTAAAAAAATCAAGTTAACTATTTTTTTCCTCAAAGTGGAAAAAAATAAATGAATATGAAGGAATCAGCAACCTGCATACAAAAGAATGACGTGTTTTTAACTTTCATTGCTTTTGTAGGTCCATCTGCATCAAATTGTAATCTTTTTTTGTTATGCGTCCCTATCCAAGCTGACTATATGGTTCCTCTCTCTATGTTTCTCTGTCGCTTATGTTTTGTTTTAATTACCTACTGCACCAATCTAACCAAGACATGTGCTCCCAAATTTCATGTCGGCCCTATTATTGTTTTTTGGGTTTTATCTATGGGGGTTAGTTATATAGTAGAGGGTAATTCATCTTCCGTCCTAGATCTCTCCTCAAAATACAAAAAATTGTAATTCTTTAAACTTCCAAGTTGTAGGTCTCTGGATGAAATTTCTTGAAGCAATGGTGTTTGGTTTGGGAATATAGGGCTATCCTTAATTATCGCAATCAAGTGTCTTACTATCTGCCTTCAAAATCACGAAAATCAGTGTCGGTGAAATAGACCAAACTTAAGAGTTGGTATGATTGGATTTAGTAAGCCATGTGAAGAGTTGTTGTCCATTAACTTCCTGTTTTTATATATTTGTTGATGTTGAAAGTTGACCTAATGTTAAGGTACTGCCTGTTATTTATGCAGCTGGAACTATTTGATTCCTTCTAATATATCTATTCTTTATATTATTTTAGTTTAATTGCACAGATGAAATGTTGGTATATTAATTGGAGTGGTTGTGACTTTCCCCGGTGAAAGTTAAGACTTACTCTGGGTTTTGTCCTTGCACGCAGTCGGCTCTTAGGAGTCCACTCTTGCCATTATCGGGTTGTTGACATACCTGCACATTAAGACAAATTAATATGCGCAAATCTCTGCACAATGTTTCCACGTGCCTGTGTTTAAAAAACTAATGTTTTCTAGACTGTTATGAATCGACATCAGTATCAAGAGAGTCAAACCTCTGAAAATACAGTTCGGAGTTGTAGGGTCCAATCTCCAAGGGTCCTAATGTGAACGCTAAGGTAGTTGTCGCCGGGAGCTGAAGTAATGGAAAACGGGTGCCTGTGTTTGCAAGTTAAAACCAAACAACCAGACAAAAGTGGATGTAAGCATCAATAATGAGGATTAGGATCACTGAAGAAAATTCAAGATCTAGCTAATTAATTAATTAATGAGTGCGTGATTGGTGATTAAATCACCATTCAAATGGGGACACTGCAGCACAATTGACAAACATGTACTGTCCACTCTTATATCTGAACCCGTGAGGCTTTGACATGTGAAGTGCCAGAACATTTCCTGGATAAACAGCCACCTGCACTGTGTCAAGAAGATTAGTTTAAACGGATATGAGATCAGTTTATTTAATCTTCCAAGTATGAACTTTGATTATTTACCTTCGATATTGACACAGCTTTGATGCTTGATCTAAGGACCCGAGTAAGTCTTTCCCAAGCGTAAAGGGAAACAGGAATGGCTAAGTACATCCAGGTCTGAAAATACCGAGAATTTTGTAATGTTAAACGGTTTTAATAATATCTTTGATTGAAAAATCGGAGAATGATCAATGAGGGATATAGGGTTGATGAGAACAGATAGCCGACCGTTTTCTTGTACCATTCTTTGGTGAGGTAGAGGAAGATTCCGTGGACAATTAGAAGAGAGTAGACGACGACAAAGAGGTGGTGGGAGTACCAGAAGGCGTTGAAGCCAGTGAGCTTCTTCAAGAGTTTGGGTAGCTTGAGCTTTTCACGACGGAACCAAGTCATCGCTAGAGTGAAAGCTATGGTCATTAATACTATCATTATAATCCCTGTCACTCCTTCCACCGACTTCACAAAAAACCAGTAGCTCTTAGGTTGCTTCCCAAAGTATGGCTCCATTAGCTCATAGTCACCTCCAGCATGAAGCAAGCGTGGGAAATCACATGCTAGATGAGTAATCGCGTGAATCCCGACCCCCATTGCAATTGCAGCAGCAATCACCTAAAAACAAAGAATGCAATCTTACATGATCAGTAGTAACTATGTGCTTACAAAGCAGAACAATACTTCTGGCGACGAAAATATGATTTCCGTTGCTATAGCTCAACAGGTTTTGTCGGTAAAAATAATGAAATGTCCTTTTTTTTCAGTTATAGACTACAGACCTTATGGAAGTTGAGATTGTCGTCAAAGGGGACTGCTACGCCTAATTTGGTCTTGTTCCTGAGCCAAGTGATCGTATTTCTGCACACTGGCAATAGAATCAGAGCCATGTTGAGCTTAAGCGTCTCGGCCGCTCCCTTAGCCATGCACACACAATGACCCATCACCACAAATGCTGCTCGTCGCCTATACTGAATGTATTTATATGCAAAAAGGCCACACATGACCACAGTCCACAGAGCCATCACCCAAAGTCTCTGCCAATTGTCTGACAGAAAGTATTTGGTGCATCTATAACACCTCCTCACTGGGTTTTGATCGTATGTAGGCTTCAGCTTCTGGCTTAACATTGTGCTCAAGTTCTGGCTCTCCCCTGCCCTCACAGGTTGCGCTGGTGCTTGAAGCAAAAGCATCTCCAAATTATGTATCTGTTTAGCAGCATGTAATTAAATTAAATCAACTGGTAATGATTTAATTTAAACCCAACTTAATTAAGCTATTTATGAATTTTATACCTTGATATATCCTAAATTGTCAGGGTCTAATTCTTCCATGATCAAGGCAGCATATTCCTCAGCTTGTTTCTGAATATTTGCAAGCTTATTTGCAGAAGCACTTAGACTAATAATCTGCGAAATTCAGAATATAACCAGGTTATTTATTTTAGAAAAGAATTCAGAACTCGCATCAAAATCATAATTCAAAGATTAATTGTGCACTACCTCTTTAACTTCTTCCTCAGTGATTCTCCCATCTGCATCTTTATCCACCCTGCATCGATTGTTTTAGTTCAAACCTAAGATAAAAAATAACAAAAATTAGAAAGTGTTGTATCCATTGGATGGGGCGGACTCCTTGATGTTGTGGATTGTCCACATTCCTATGTTTTGCAGTATATTTTACTGCAAAATAGGGAACTAAAAGAAAAAAACTAAGTGAAGAAGAACAGAGAAATTACATGTCAAAGAAAGTTTGAAGCCTGGCATCAAAACTTTGATTGGAGATCTGATCCCAGAACTCTTTCAACTCTGCTTTGCAAATTGAATCTCCTTGAATGTTCCTTTTCCGAGCAAGTGCATCAAATAATTGCCCTGCGAATTCCTTCGAATCCTTCATTCCTATCATTCCATCACCATACTAAAAATCTTAGCATGATAGATAACCACTCACTCACATGTGAACACTAAAATAAATTCGCTGTAAAAGTTTTGCAGTTACGATGTAGGTAAGGATTCCGAATGATGTAAATACATACCTATGCATTCACCAAAGCGTGAGCGGGGCAGGGCACCGCCATTAGAAGCAGTGATTTCATCGAACCGCACCTCCACGGCAGCCCATCCAGCACTTCCGTCGGTTTTGCTGATGAACTTGAGCCCCTTAAGGGCGTGAGCAGCGGCCGACTTGGTCCGGTCAAAGCGATCCGGTGGAGGCTTCTTGGAAAAGGAAGCCAACCGCTTCAGCTCATTTCCCATTTGCCTGAGCTTGACCGACGCATTTCTTACCATTGACGACCCAAAAGAAGATTTCTTCTCCAGGCCTTTTGCTAGCAGCAACAGCTCAGGATCCTCTTCCAGTTTATCATTGCTGCAGCCAACGGCATCAGCGGTGCCCCTGACACTGTGCACAGTCACAGAGTTCTCGCGGACGTCCAGGGTGAGCTCCACGTATTGCTCCTCTTTCTCCGGTAAATTGAACCGGGGGCTTCTTTTCCCCGGTCTTTTGTTTAAGGGGCCGCTCAAGGGACCACTGTAATCTTCAGTACTACTCATTTTCTCCGGCCAGCACCAGGGTATAACACTAATCCTCCAAAGGAAAAAGAAAAAGAAGACGATTTTCTCTCTTTGGCCTCAGAGAAAACCTTAACTTGAATGTTTTAATGGGTATATATAGAAATTCATTTGAGGTTGAAAGGAGGAAGAAGATGAAAGTGGTTTAGCAGGCCTGGAGCATTGATGCTCCATAAGTTATGCTGTAATAGGCCAACGCCCCTTGACTTTGGTGTTGATTAAAAGTTAATGTAACAGCTTTTGGATTATTTATTCAAATATAATTAATAGTTGATTGTAATAATTGATAGTGGGGGGTGGATTTTTCCAGAAATTGGGACAGAGAAATAGAGTGCAGGTTTGGGTTGTTTGAACTTGGAGGTGCTCTTGTATTAATATATCAAGAAGGGTAGTTCGGCTCATGTAAAACCATGCCTTTCACGTTGGGATGGTTTTAGGTTTGGAGTAACTATTGTACTCAGTTTTTTTAATAAACATTATTTTTTGTTATTAAAAAAAATAATTGATAGTAATATTTAATACTTATAATTATTATTATTTAAAATTAAAAATATTTAATTTATTTAATTAAAAATAACTGTTAATCAAATTTTAAATTAAACACTCCATTATTTTTTTTTATTTTAAACTATATAATAAAAATTAATTCTCACTAATCTTTTTAACTCACTCTAGTAACATCTCTTGTACCTCCAATCCAAAATTTTTTACTCCAACTAAGAAAGAAATCACTACCAAAGTGCTAAGTCGTTGGCATCCACTCTTTGTCCTTGGATCTTGTTAAACTGACAAATTGGCAATTGAAATGAGTGCCCAAAAGGAACCATGGAGATTGGAGGGATCCAAGTGAGTATGGGCTTGGGCCCTCCAAACCTGGGAAATATAATCAATTAGGTTCATGAACTTTTTTTTTATTTTTTTTATTTTATATTTAAAATTTTAATTTATTTCATACCATGCATTTTAATCCATTAATTAATGTTTCTTTTTGCCTCTTTACAAATATTTTCTAGCTTCCCTTCTGAGTAGATCTTTTATTATTTTTTAATATAAAATGATAAATTATATAACAAAGATAATCATTTATTTTTTATTTTTTATATTTATTGAAATATTCAAATGGAAGACTTTTAATATAAAGATTTAAATTGTTAATCACTAAGACATATTCTAAGACCTAATAATTTAACACTTCTAAAAAATTTACTTAAGACATAACTTGTATAAAAGCTAAGTTAGACAAGAAATACCAGTTTTTAAGTGATTAAATTAAGGAGGCATTAAATGATTCTTTAAATTTTTTTTACAAGGATTATTTAAATATCTACTTTTTTTTTAGACGAAAGCAAAGTTGCTTTGGTTTACTTTGCCTCATAAAAAGCGAATACAACTACACCGGGCATACCGGGCGGAATTTACCATTTACATAACACTCAGTGCTCTCAAATACTAAACAATACCATATTCACACTATATAATCAACATTTGCACTGGCACCCATAATCAGTTAAACACGAGTCTGTTCCTCTCGTGCCACATACATAAAACAAAGCTGTTGCTTCACATGCCACTTTAATACTTAGGGTATGATGTGAGTAGAGTTTCCCCATTCCCCACCATATCTTGTCACCACATTGAAAAAGTGCGTCATTGTAGATACCTTTTTCTTTTTATGTGACATTATCAATACCTATTTTGTCACCAATTTAGTTGTTTTGTCCTGTTACAATAATTATGTATGGGTATCCATTTTGCTGTTCAGTATGGTAATGTAAAACAAGAATTAAAAAAAAAAAAAAAACTTTCTTTTTGTCTGCTAAAAACCAATTGTTAAATTATGTTTGGTGTGGGAATAGTTTTTTTTTTTTTTTGAATATTGGAGAATTATAAAAGAATGAAAGATTTTTTCAAGTAATCAATAAAAATTAAACTTTTGATCAATTAAATCTAAATATTGAGATTTAGAATGAACTACTTGATCTGAATAGTTATTTGTTGTTAAACCATAAAAAAAAAAAAACTTTCTTTTTGTCTGCTAAAAACCAATTGTTAAATTATGTTTGGTGTGGGAATAGTTTTTTTTTTTTTTTGAATATTGGGAAATTATAAAGAAATAGGAGATTTTTTCAAGTAGCCAATAAAAGTTGAATTTTTGATTAATTAAACTTAAGTACTAAGATTTAAAACAAATTACTTTATCTAAAAATTCAGTTCGTAGGAATAAGTTTTTATTTTTTTGAATAATTATCATAAGATTAAATTAAACCATTAGAAAAGAGATAAACTTTTACTAAAGTGACGAAAGTCACTTTACCTTACTTGTTGGGTTCGGGTTCGTAGTAATAAATATTTGTAGTTAAACCATACATCAAAAAAAAATATTTGTAGTTAAACCATAATTAAAAATGTAAAATAAAGAAAAAATTAGTAGTAAGGAGTACAAGTTGTGGACTGAAATATGAGACCGGTTCTTTGTCTTAAGCCTCACTTAAACCATTCTCTTTCTCTAAATCCACCCTCTACCTTCAGCTCTCTTCTTGGTTCGCCGCAGAGCTTTAGCTTTTACGATGGACTGCTTAAGTCCTGCTATGATTTGCCTTCGCTCCAACAGATACATTCTTCTCTTACTACTTCGGGAATCATCTCCAACAACCCACATTTGTGCGCCCGAATCATCATCAAATACGCCCAATTTGGAAAAGTCAACAGTTCTCGTTTGTTGTATGATGCTGATAAAACCAGTTCTTTTCTTTGGAACACAATGATACGGGCATATGCAAATGGCGGTCACTCTGTTGAAACACTGGACTTGTATTCTCTTATGCGGAGAAATGGAATTTCCCCTGATAGTTACACTTTCCCTTTTACTCTTAAAGCATGCGCTTCCAGATCATTGATTCTAGAGGGGGAGGTTGTTCATGGGGACGCCATCAAAACTGGGTTCTCTTTGGATTTGTATGTTGAGGCCGCCTTGGTTGATATGTATGCCAAGTGTGGCCAAATTGATGCTGCTCGCAAGGTTTTCGATGAAATGCCCATGAGGGATACGGTTTGCTGGACTGCCATGATTACTGCATGTGAACAGGCTGAGCTGCCTGAGGAGGCAGTTGTATTGTTCCAAAAGATGCAACAGGCGGGTGTTTTTGCGGATGCTGTGTCCATAGTGAGTGTTGCTTCTGCTGTTGCTCAGTTGGGAGATACCATGAGGTCACAAATGATTCATGCTCAAGTAATTTGCAAGGGGTATGTTATGGATGTCTCTGTTGGGAATGCAGTTATTTCTATGTATGCAAAATGTGGCAATGTGGATAAGGCACGTCTGGTATTTGATTTAATGGAGGAAAGAGATGGCATCACATGGAATTCTATGCTTTCTGGCTATTCTCAAAATGGACAAGCAAGCGAAGCATTGATTCTTTTTGATGAGATGCTGGACCTTGGGCATAAGCCTAATCCAGTGACGGTACTGATCATGGTTTCTGTTTGTGCTTATCTGGGTTACAAATATCTTGGAAGGAAGTTCCATGATTTTATAATTGATAGCAGAATAAAAGTCGATGCAAATCTTCAAAATGCATTGATGGACATGTATGCTAAATGTGGGGAACTAGACACTGCTCTGAATATGTTCAATGATATTCATCCAAGTGAAAGGAATGTCACCTCGTGTAATGTGCTGATTTCAGGATATGGCACTCATGGATTTGGGAAAAAGGCACTAGAACTCTTCTCACAAATGGTTCAGGAAGGTATTGAGCCAGACCATATGACTTTCACATCTCTTCTTTCCGCCTGTAGTCACGCAGGCCTTATTGAGGAGGGTAGGAAATGTTTTGTAGACATGAAGAACTTTGTAACACCCTATGTTAAGCATTATGCTTGCATGGTGGATATGCTTGGCCGAGCTGGACTTTTATATGAAGCCTTTGATTTGATTAGGCAGATGCAATCTCCTCCAAATGATGACATCTGGGGTGCTTTGTTGTTGGCTTGCAGAATCCACGGGAACACTGAATTAGGGGAAATTGCTGCAAAAAATCTATTCCAGCTTGAGCCAGAGCATGCTGGTTACTACGTGCTAATGTCAAATCTATATGCAGCTTCAAACAGATGGCAAGAAGTATGGAAATTAAGGGAACATATGAAGAAAAGGAGATTGAGAAAATATGCAGCATTTAGTGTGATTGAGTTCAGTAGAGAGGTTCACGGCTTCCACACGGCTGATCGAGTGAATCCATTCTGGCAGGAGGTTCACAGGAAGATAGAGAGCTTGCAAGTTGAGATGAAGATGGCTGGATATGTGCCGGATCTTTCGTGTGTCCTACACGATGTGGAAGAGGAAGACAAGGAGCACACTCTAAAATATCACAGTGAAAAACTAGCTGTAGCTTTTGGCATCATGAAGACTGACCCAGGCCTAGCAATTCAGGTGACAAAGAATCTTCGCATCTGTAACGATTGCCATTCAGCATTCAAGTGCATTTCCTATATTTACGGAAGGAAGATCATTGTGAGGGATGGAAATCGGTTCCATCACTTTCATGGTGGCACTTGCTCTTGTAATGATTATTGGTAATGACTAAGAGATTCTTGACTTACCTTTGTACTGCCACTTCACCAAGCCCAGCAGTATTCTATACAGCGGTCCCTCATATATCAAATGAATGACTACTAAAAAAAATTGATCTAAGTTAAAATATATAAAAAAAAAATTATGTATACAAAAAAATTTTAATTATTATTTATTTACTATAAAAAATCATCTAATCTCATACTAAAAAGTGTAAGATATATAACAAAATAATAATAATTGAGAATGTTACAGTACAGTTTATCTTGTGTGAATTACAATATTTTTTATTATTGATAAAGAGATAAGTTCTCAATATCAAAAGTCACTTTTTTTTACCAATAATTATAAAAAATATAGTTTCACAACAAGTTCCACATAAGTTTTATAATAATTTGACATCTACTAGCTAGGGTAAGATAAAAAAAAAAAAATTGTAAATAAATAAATGAGCCGTGATGCCAGAATGAACCGAACCGGAAACATAATCGTCCCAACGGTTACGACTTTTTGGCGGGAAAATTCATTCCGTTCCCCGTCTCTTCGCTCCTCTGGAATGAAGAACAAGGAACCGTAGAGGAATCAACGAAACTCATCTCAATGGATCGAAGCTCGGATCTGAGACTACTTGAATCGGATTGGTACTCTCCACGCCGGCTCCATGAAAGCCCCACGCCCATCGATTTTCCGGTAGAGAATTCTACCTTTTGGACATGTACCAAGAAACCCCATTTTCCATTTCGTTTTGTATCAGATGGATTGAATACTGATTTCTTGTTAATCTCTTCCTCACAGGGGGATCGCTTTATACCCAATAGAAGTTTAATGGATCTTGATCAAGCCCATGGCTTGTTGACTAACAATACCAGAGAATTCTATACTTCGAAATACAGCGTATGTTTCTTCCCTCGGTTAATTTCTTCCCCTTCCCTTTGCTTCGAGACATGGGTTTTATCTATTTAATGAGAACTCCTGTTTTCTGTTATGGGTTCTTTCAAAAAGTTCATAATTGGGTATTTAATCTTTTGGGGCACTGGCACATCACGGATCACTTTCTTGGTTTCTGAAGTTCCTCGAATCTTTTTTACTTCTGGGTCATGATTCATGAAAAAGATGTTAAATTGTGTATCTGAGTATATTGTTTCTGGGATATATTTTGATTTTGGGGGAAAGGAGTATCTTGAGATGTATGGATGGTTAGTTTTGTGAAAACGCACATGCCGAAACACAATGCTTGTTCCGTAGCATTTCTTGTATTGAAACTGGGTGTTTCTTTGTTATATGTTTGATGCGAAATTTCTCCAGTCAACAAGTTTCTCATTTTTTTTATTTTTTTCATTGTGACAGGATTTATATAGACAGAAACTGGTTGAGAATCTTACTTTAGATTCCGAAGGGAAACCATTTAGGATGTTAGTTTTCAGGGGAAGCCCAAAATCAAGCCAAAAGTCTATTCGTCTTGTTGATGAAATGAGAAGTGAGGAGGTAATGGATAAAAAAGGGAACAGTCACCGATCATTTCCGAAGGTGATCACCCTAATTTCTTCCCTTTTGTTATTTTGTTTTGAGCCTTGTGCTGTTCATTTCTTAGATAACATGATTAGTAGTGTAAGTTCAGGGAGAAGTGAGGATTCTGGATGCGCCGAATCTTAGAAATAACTTCTACTATAACACCATTGATTGGGGGATGAACAACATTCTCTCTGTTGCTTTGGGTCGGACTGTCTACCTTTGGCACTCGGAGAGCAACCATGTGCAGAAGCTGTTGCAGGTTGATGATGAGAATGATCATCCTACCAGTGTGGTCTGGTCTCAGGATGCCAGAACCCTCGCTGTTGGACATTCCGGCTCTACACTTCAGCTATGGGATGCTGAGACTTCTAAACTAGTATAGCTCCTTCTCTCTGGGATCTCGACAAATTGTTTCAAGATCAATTACAGTCTTAAGACCTGAGAGGGTTTGGATTAGAATCTTAATATGCATTGTTTTTGCTTATAGGTTAGAAGCCTAGAAGGTCACACCAAAAGGGTTGCAACCGCTGCTTGGAATGGCCACATTTTAACATCAGGAAGCCATGATAAATCCATTATCAATCATGATGGTATTTGAATTTTGCTTCCCTTTATCAATATTTTACTCACTAATAATTGATTGGGTGAGATAATTTAATCCTTTTTTTCATCAACAGTTAGAGCAAGAAACAATTGTGTTTCCCGTATAAAAGCACACAAAGAAGAAGTATGTGGTTTGACATGGTCAAGTGGAGGCAGTACATTGGCAAGTGGAGGCAATGAAAATCTGATATACATATGGCAAGCTTCAAAAATGAGTTCATCCGATTTTTTGCACAGATTTAATGATCATTGTGCTGCTGTCAAGGCCCTGGCATGGTGCCCATATCAGTCCAATGTACTTGCCTCTGGAGGAGGCACAAACGATGGGTGCATCAAGATATGGAATACACAGAAGGGATTCTGCATTAACACCATAGACACCAAAGCTCAGGTAAGTTCAATGATTTACTTACCTTCATATTAGTTTTGTGGAGACCTAAGACTGAATTAGTTGATGTGTGTTTGATGGCAATGAGCAGATTTCTGGGCTGGTGTGGAACAGACATCACAAGGAGATCATGAGCGGCCACGGTTTTGGGACAAATGGGCATCAAAACAAGCTATGCTTGTGGAGGTATCCTTCCATGAGGAAATTGAGAGAATTTGGTCCTCATGACTCCCGAGTTATCAACCTTTGCCAGGTCAAACCATTGAAGCCTAGTCCAGAATGTGGCCAATGTATAACAAACATGTATTAATGTTTCTTGTATTTCTGTATTTGCAGAGTCCCGATGGTTTAACTGTGGTATCAGCTGGTGCGGATGAGACACTTCGCTTCTGGGATGTTTTTGGACCCCCAGTTGATGAAAAGTCTACAGTTTCAGAACTTGATGGCCTTTTGTCTTTCAAGACATCCCTAATAAGATGATGGCTCTGTATTTATCTGGCTTATACACAGAAAGGGTGGAGCAGAAGAAGAAATTTCTTTTCCCTAGTGATAGTGGATATATTGTACCATTACCATTACTGTTTTTGTCATAAAAAATACTCGGCAAAATGATATAAGTTCATTGACACATTTCCGTGTCTTTGGTGAACAACTGATGCGTTTCCTGGAAGAAACAGTAGAAGGCATTGATTCAACAAAAAACAACTGACTGCATTATTTCTTACTTTGGCACCGATACAACAGATCAATCTATGAGAAAACAATGCAGGTATATGGATGCCAAAAAGGTTTCCTCTTTGCCGCTCAACTATCCTCCTACCTCAAAATTCCAAAGTTGCAATCGGTAGGGGAATATCTCACAACGTTTCTTCTACTGATAATTTAAATTTAGTCAGCCTCAGAATCATCAGAGTCACTGTCCAAGTACATCTCCACATTATCACCCTCAGATAGTTTCTCCTCTTCTTCCTCCTTTTTCTTTCTCTGTTCTTCTTCTTCTCTCTCAGCGGCTAGAGCCTTTGCTTTCTCAAGTCTTAAACTGACTGCATCCCATGACACAAGCTTCTCCATGAATGTTGATATGTAATCTGGTCGTCGGTTCTGCCAAAAGAAACAATGGTATATTAGACCCTCTCAGTAGTATTCACTTAGACAACATATAAACTCTTCATCATACAATGAAAGTCGAATTGCAACCCATGTTTCAGTAAATGAGCCTCACCTGAAAGTCAAGGTAATATGCATGCTGTTCAGACGAAAAAAAAAAAAAAAGGCTTGAATTAGTTCCAAGTAGATAAACTGTTCTTAAGAAGACTAAGCATGGATGAATTTCCTGCTCAAAATGGTATAGAACACTAGGAATATTGATTACCTCCCAGACATCAATGGTAAGGAGTGGCTGCATAAATCAACAAATTAATCATCAGATGCATAAAGCCAAGAGAACATCATTTTCTCCAATCAAAGCTTCCCACGACATAGAAGAATATGTACTTAAACATATGAGGTGGAAAAGCAGCAGTTAGTAGTATACTCACAAAGTAATCCCAAACAAGGGGATTTACAGCATTTGGACTTTTCACTATCACAAGCCTTTTGTCCTTCTCAGAAGCTAGTGGATTTACTGCATTGTCCACATCAAGTCTATTTGCTTTGTCTGGAAAACAATCAGATGCATCACTCTTGAGATTCGGCCAAGAATAGTAGATATTAACAGAAATCAGTGGTAAACTGTTCTCTTTTCTTGATCAGAGATATCAGTGGTAAATGACATAAAACTGGAGCCGAACACAAAAAATGACATGAAACTGGAAGAGAATCACCCACATGCAAGCCAAGCCCAGCCAGAGCCAAACTGTGTAGCTGCTGTAGACTTGAATTCTTCCGCAAATTTTTCAAAAGAACCAAAATCTCTTTCAATCATATCTAGAAGATCTCCAGATGGCTTTCCTCCACCACCTGGTTTCATTGAATCCCAAAAGAATTCATGGTTCCATGCCTGTATACAGATTAAAGGTATCAAAATCAAATAAAAAAAAGTTCCTCACATTACTAAACTTGAGTGGTGGAATGCAATGCCTTCTTTGGGTGAGAAGGAAGGATTGAGATAGAGAAAGAGAGGAAATATGTGACATTAGACATATTAGAATAAATTAGTTGTGAATGCTAGATAAAGATTTGATGAAAATATCAATTGCACTTAGTAAATCTAACAACTGATCTGATTCATTATAAGAATTAAAATGTGACTTCAACTATTGGCATACCTGTGCAGCATTGTTAAAAGCAGGAAGTATATCGCCCTTGTTGTATGTAGCAATGATGATATCTTCCAAGGGCATTCCATCCAACTCTGTTCCTGAAATTTGCTTGTTTAGGTTCTCAACATAAGTTCTATGGTGCTTTCCCCAATGGTACTCAAAGGTTTCTCTGCTCATATGTGGTTCCAATGCATTCTAATACATGTACAACAACATGATTAATATTGTTCCAACATAAAAAATAAAAAAGACCAAGATGAGATTTGTGTTTCAAGCTCAATGGTAGTCAAAAAGTACAGTAGTAAATTAAAACCTTTTTGGAGAAAGATGCATTCAGTTCAAGCCTGGGCGAATAACAAGCTTCAGTCAAACTCTCAATTACTCAGAGCCTGTTTATTTAGCTGAAGGGAAAAAGGGAAAACTGGTGTGCAACTTACCTATCATTCTAAAATTTTGAGAGCAGTCTAGCTGACTCTTCTCCACTTTCATTCATATACCCACATACAATTATTGCATTTCACGTTTTCAAATATCTTCTACAATAAAAGAACAAAACAAACAGAAAATTAAAAAAAAAAAAATTTACCAGAGGATAAGGTGGAGGATTCAGCTCAAATTTTGCAGTAATTACATTAGAACCGGCCTTCCTCGAGAACTGCCTCTGCTGCAAACGATTTACGTTTATCTACAGAAAATTTACATTAAACAGTAAACACAAAAAATCCTTCAGATGAGACATTTCATCAAACATGTTCAGTACACTTTTCTTGCCCAATTTCTTTTCCAGGATTAGAAGAAAAAAAGAAAACCAAAACCGACCCAGAAATCCTACTGAATGAAATTTCCACTCCTTAACATAAAATTTAAGCCATCCGCCTCTTCCTCAGCTAGATCCTATCCTCTTCTTCAACCCACATTTCCCAGAGCAATCAAAGAAGATAACCAAAAATATGGCAGCAAAAGAGGAAAAAGCGCAGAGTAAAACCTGGGTCTTTCTCCATAGAAAGCCACGAGCTGACCCACGAAGCCCTGTCCCAGCAATTATCAAGAAACTCCATTAAAGCCGGAGAGAGTTGAAGTTTGCAACACATGAAGATAAGAGAGGGGTAAAAAGGAGCCACCTTGGGAAGGGAGCACTGCGGCTGTCAGTGGACTAGCCATACTGAGAGCAGCGGCCATTTATTCCTACTCTTCTGTTCTTGCTTGAGATATTAGAAATTCCGGCGAAGGGTAGCTACCAACGTCAGTTTGCCGGAGGCGGAAGCATTCAAAATTTACAAATGGCGCTGGACTGGAATATGCTTGGGGTACAGACTGCAGTACAATTGTTTGCAGTGCTCAAGCATTGGATGTCATCGAACTAATCAGCGTTTTTATTTTTAGTGCCATTAGATGTCTGACACGTAAGATGGTTCTATCCCTCTTGAATTTTTTTTAATTTTAATTTCTTCCATCAATTTTTTTCCCATTTTATAATGAGTCAATACTAATGGTGCATTCCCAAAGTAGGCCCATATTACAATAAAGTATGGGTTTTTTTAAGTATAAGGGGGGTTTTTTTTTTTTGGGTGCAATAAGTATAAAGGTTAAAAATATATTAATTTTATTGTTTTATTAATCTATATTTAAAAAATAAAATTTAACATTAACTTTATTAATAGTCTAATTAAAAATATCCATATAACATAAGTGTTGAAATTAATGCTAACTTTTTCATTTTGTATGTAAATTAATATATATAAGTATTCATTTAAGGTACTCTTAACTTGTACATTAAGAGCATAGGTTAAACAAACCCTAAAAGTATTAGTATGCCAATGATTTAAGTTGTTTATTTTTGCCAACGACCTAAATAATTTAGTGATAATCTCTTTTCATTGAGAGTAAGAAGTTTTAAGTTCAATTTGCATGACATGTAAATAAAATGAGATAAGAAATAAAGTGAGATAAGAAATAAAAGAGAATTATATCTCGTTATACAAACAACATAAAAAAATTATTTATTTTTAATCTCTTTCTAGTATAAGTAAGATATTTTAAATTTAAGTTATATAATATACAAGTAATGTGAAGTAAGTTAAGAAATGGGTTAAGAAATGGGAGAGAATTGTTTTCTATTGCACAACCAAAGGTCAAAAAAATAAATAAAAGAATTAGCATGAGTGTGTTGTGATTATTAGAATAATGGAATTATTAAAGAATATTTTTAAAGTTGTATCACTAGTGTTCATATAAAAAAAAATTGTATTACTAGTACATAATATTCTTATTAGTGTTTTGCAAATATTTAAATATTCTTATTAAATAAGATTTTTTTTTAAAAATATTTTCATATTATTATAACCTCAATTACAATTTTTTATGTGTAGTCTAAATTAAAAGACATTACTTTACTTAAAAAAAAAAAAAAAATGAAAAGGAGGAAAAGAAGAAGCCCATACGAGACTTTCTGAAAAGCTATCTCAAAACCTTTGAAAGGTGCAAAGCCCAAAGGATGCGACCCTTGCTGGTGACCAAAGTCTACTACTAGACCAAATGGCCTTTTCCATTCTCTCGCAAATTGCATTCCGTTTCTTGTTCTGTCCCTTCTAAGTTCAAGCATGTATGGTTGGAGTTCCTCTTCAATGGCAGAAAGCTTGAACATGGAAGCAATCTCACAAAACAATTCCCCGTCAACTCCATTTCCTCCTACCCCTCTCCAGTTGTCCGGATTTCTCAACGGTGATACCATTCAAGTAGAGGGTGAAACAGGGGATTTGCAATTCTCTATGAAATTCAATGTCCAAACCAAACATGCTTCCAAGGACAACTTCCATTTTCCACATACAAATTCACTTGAGAATATTTACACTCGTCAAGATTCAAGTTTCGGTTCCTTCACAACTCCTAACAGTACTCATAAAGTAGAAGAACGAAGTGCAGAAACAGAGCCATTAATGGTCCTTGAGAATCAGGGAACCGAAGAGACTGCAAAATCTGATGCAACCAAGAGGGATGTCATAATGACAAGGCTAAAAAGTGGGGTTATGTCTCCAGTGAAGTATTTTCCTCGAGCTTTCGTCAATGAACACGGGGATTCAAGGTATTCTAGCAAAGTTAAACCGAAGAAGAAAAGAAGAGTTAAGAGGGAGGTCGTACTAGAGAAGATGATTCAGAGGCATAGTTTCCCTGTAAGGCCTTGCAGTTCTTATGCTTTCTTTGTGGTGGCCACTTGGGGTTTGGTCGAGTCCTCTTCCTTTGGTGAAGCAAGCAAGAAACTGAGTCAGATGTGGTGCAAATTGCCGTGCAGGGACAAGAAGGTTTTTTGCAATCTTTTCTTTCTCCCTATTCATCTTACTTGTTCCCACTTCAGTTCTCAAGTCTCAACAAGGCATAGATGAAAACTGACAGTGTGCAATGTGCATGTATTTAAATATAAAAGAAAACAGAAATTAAACTCTACTGTTCTGTTTCATGTGATGCAGATATACAAGGACATGGCTGTCAAGGATAGCACAAGATATAAGCGGCAATGCATGCTTTTAAAGAGCCAACATCAGAATGCCAAGTAGCAGAACTATGCATATGCAGCAAAGCTATAAACAGCAAGATGGGTACCACAAGACAATTTTTGTGAACTTCATGAAGTTTGATTTCATGTGTGCAGTTAGAAAATGCTATTTACTTCATTTTTCCCTTCTCCTTTACATGAATATAAATAGTTTTCTTGAGTTTGATATATTGGCAAGAAAAGCATTTTTCTAGCATTTCATCCTGTTTTCCGATTTCATGACCTGTAAGAATTCTATAGTGTGACAGAAAAATCTTCAAACACATACATAATAATAAGATGAAAGGAAAAAAAAGCCATGTCTAAAACAATGTGAGACTTTATTGAAGACAATCATAGTTGCCTCAAAAATATAATATTAGAACATTATAATTGTAGTTTAATAGACATGTATTGGATGCTGTTATAGCTTTTCTCAATATCAGTACAAAATCGGGCATCCTCGAAAGAATTAAGTTATGGTACAAAATAACAATGTTACCAGTTATAGTGAGAAAAGTTTTTGGAACACATCAAATTCTTCGTTGGCAGTCAACTGGGGTTCCTGCAACAAAGTTTCTTGGACTGAGCGGCAGACAGAAACATTACAACTAAAAGTAGCTATACAATAGCAAGAAGAGAGAAACAAATGGTTTGATCTGTTAACTACCACTTGGTGAATCCAGGACACATTCTTCTCTAGATTCTAATAGATAGAAGCACTTAGTTCTCAATTCCAGATGGTGGATTCATATTCCTTCCACCAGCCACATCAAGATTGTAGTCAAACTACATGAAAACTAATCCCATGATAGTCATTGTATTCCTAGCACCAACAAAATCAAGATCCTACACTAACTACATGAAAACTATCAGTTTACCATTATGAAAAGGTAAACCTTACAAGGAGGGAGGACAAACATACCTGTCTCAGTCCTCCAAGAATCCCTCCTGTTCCCAGTATTGTCAGGAGAGATGTAACAATACCACCAAGTGCATTGTCTGCATTACGAATGGTAGACCGCATTGCAGTTAGCATGCTCCCATAGGTAGCTCCATGCCCACGTTCAATAGCTTGGATGAAAGAGTAAGTCATTGCACCAGTTGAAGTAACCCTTGATAAGGCCTGTTTTTAAAAGCACTACTCAATCTGACTCTGTTGAGATAACAAGTATTGATGCTGTCATGCTGTGATAGAATTAAAAGTTTGGAACGTATGTCCAAAACCTTACCGAAGTGTCTACAGAGGTTTGATCATCAGCACAGCCACTGAAGGAAATGACCTCCCCACCACTTGTTCCTTTTGATATACCTGATTGAGGTCGATGATCTTCCCAAACATACCCCCCATGCCTAAATCCAATAGAGAAGCTTTATCAATGCTAGAGATATTATTGAATGAACCATAAGTTGCTATCATTTCTCCTCTGAACATGATATGCAATGCAAACTAATACTGAATTTAAGCAACAAAACACAGCAAACAGGATAGCTGACCCGTCCATTTTGCAGAGAAATGGTAAATCTAAGACAGTGCCACTGTGGCAAGCATCTATGATGGCATGAAGCTTAACCCCATGAGGAAGAGGCCTCACAATCGTTGCATTGATTTCATCATCTACAATCATCCCTTGACTTTCAAAATCTGACGGACAAAGTGTTTCATCATATCCATCTACCTCATCTCCAGCGTAGTTCCTCTGTTGTGAACCATGACCGGAATAATGAAATACCAATGAATCTCCAGGTTGACATCCTTGTACAAGCCAATACATTGCCAGTCTCATGTTGTACTTAGTCGGTCGCTTGTAAGTATCAGTTTCTTCTTCTGCAAATGATTTCCAGAAAGGAATTAAAATAAAAAAGGCAATTATTCCAATCTTAATTCACTCTAGTAAAGAGGTTGGCTTGTAAGGGGCACAGCTTACACAAAACCTTTTAATTATTTTTTTTAAAATAATAATTAAAAGGGTTTATTTAACTTATACTTTAAGTCAGAGCTTAAGGGTAAATACTTTTTTTTTTTGGACAGATTTATATTGAAAAAAATAAAAATTAAATTTTAATTTATCAATTTTACAATTAAATTCACCTACTTAATTAACAACTATTCAATTTAAGGGATGTAACAAATGAACCCAAAATTGTTAATTAAAATTCAAGAAAATTAACAATTAAAGCAACATAATTCAAATTTTTTATGAAAAAAGAAAATTAGAAATTATGAAAATGCCCATTAGCAAGAAAGGTAATATCTTTCTTATGGGGCAAAAAATTTAGAGAAAAATCAAATCTTTATTCATTACCAGTAAGCATGAGGATGGAGGACTCGGGGAACTTGAATCGATTAATTAGCAAGTACTTCATACACTTGGCATCGTTAATGCAGCCTTTCAGCTCGTGCCGGGAATGCTTATACGAGACGCCGCATATAACGGCGCGCTTGGGGCCATAGGGGGAAGGCGATGGACCTGACGGCGCGTGGCTGTACGGAGAAGGAGCCGGAAGAGGTAAAGGCTGGTACTGGTGGGTGGTGGAGGCGGAGTAAGGCGGCAGCAGCGGCACGGAGCAAGGATCTGCTACGTGGGTGACGGCGTGGCAGAGGACGCAGCGGATTGATCGCGCTCCAGGAGGGAGCTGCAGTGGGGTGGGGCAGTTGGAACAGTTGACCAGCATTAACATGGCTGGGAGAGATTGTGATCAAAAGATTAAGATATTGAGATGAGATGATGAACGAGAGAGGTAGGTTGTATGGTAAAAGGGAAATATAGGAATGAGAAGAGCGGTGGTGGACGGTGGAGCTGGGTTGTACTTGGCGGAAGGTGGAGAGAACAAAGAAGAAAAGTTTGACTTGCACGATTGATAGCTAATAGTTAACTGGTTCGCCAACAAGTAGCATTTCTAGTTTTATGTATTATTCTATTTATATAAAATTTTAATTATTTATTATTTTATTTTTAACAATTAAAATTTTTGTTAAAAAATAATTATTTTTAATGAATATAATAAAAATAAATAAATTTTAACTATTAAAAATAAAAAAATAAA